AAGGCTGAGCTGAAGCTTGCATCAATCTCCTGCTGGGAATGTAAACGATGTGTCTGAAACATTTTATGGCTTCTCTGGGAAGAACAGCTCCTTGTCTGATAAGGGAAAAGCAGCTCCTTATCTGATAAAGGTTAGCACACTCTCGGGGTGGGGATGGGCGGCCATCTGGCGTCATTTGGCTCCTGACAAGTAGCAACAGAATCCTCACCTTGGACCAAAAGACCAACCAGCTGGCTTCTCTTACCTCATCTCCTCCCACTCTTCCAGATTAAAAAAAAACTTGGTGAGAGCCTGGTGCAATAAATGAAAGAAAGGCCCCCTCCCAGGCACATCACCGGTAATTTTCAGACACCAGTGTTAAAAAGAACATTCTAAAGAGGATGGAAGTTTCCCATATGTAAGAATAGGACCAGATTCCTCAATAGCACATTGAACATATGCTTTTTCTGGAAGCTACCAGAAAGGATGCTTCAACAAAACAAGATACTACACCAAGAAAGAATACATGGATTCAGGCAAGAGAGGATCTAACCCAGGGGAAAGAATGGTTCAAAGACGTCTCCGGATGAGCAGGAAATCCGGAGACAGAGCTCTAGTGCAGGTCTAGGGAACAACTTCACCAAGTGGGTAGCCCAGACTGCAAGACTGTGGGCACGGTGGGGGGAAGTACAGAAATGGATTTATTGTGAGCCTAATGGAGCTGGAGGTCGAGACACCTCATGGGCCCCTTACAAGGCCCTGGAAGGGCCCTAGCAACATCTTCACATGCTCATGAATTTTTGTAAACTATAAAAACAAAAATTATTTCAACCGTAATTAGTTAAGAGGACCACTGTCACCTTCCACTCTAACTTTTCCTCCTTCTTACTCCCCTTTGAGTCTGGTGCCTTTTTATAATCGTACTAAGAAGTTATGTTGAAAATGCTTTGGGCCTGAGTTGAGAAGGACATTGATATACAGATGGCAGTGACCTTTTGTACATGCTCACAGTCAGCCCACTGGCACAGGGATGGCTTTCAGGGATCCTCTGCCACCCACTCAGCAGACTCGCTGGGCATGGAGGGGTGACACAAAGGTAGGTAGGATATGATCTGTCCTGAAGCACCTGACACCGGTAACAGAGAAGAAATGTGCTAGAAGAAATACTGAATTATCTTTCTCTCCATGGAAAGTGGCTTTGTCATGTGCAGAAGCAAATGAAAAGTAAACAGTGAAAAAATGAGGGGAAAATGGTTTTTAGAGGAGTGTTGGAAGATTAATTATTAAAAATATTACATAATTTTTCTGGATTTTGTGATGTTTATGGTAGCTCTCAGCCTTTTAGAATTGTGATTTTTTTTTCTAATTTAAGTAAATGATAACTTTAATGCTGAAGTCTATATTCCTAATTTGGTATTTTTTTCTACAGAGGGCTCCCCCAAATTGTTCATGCTTTGGACCTCATAAAACTTGGATTCACTCCTCTAGCTCTAAAAAAAATTACAATTAAAATACTGATTGTATGACTGATTTGCATTTGTGGAAAAGTTATATTGTCAGGCTTTTTACAGGTAAGGAAAATTTAGCTATAGGTTCAAAGAATATGAAGCAAATTTTAAAAAGAAATGATTATTAACTTAAGAAATAAAAGTTGTGCAAGAAAGGAAATGTAATCATATAGTACATAGTACTTGGCTGAGGAGTAACAACATTGACGAATACACATTCCAAATTAGGATTTAACTACAAGTCATAGACTACAATGAAAGATTTCACCTCATCTGCATGAGAGTAACTAAATAATGTGTAAAACTGGGGCAGCGCCTGTAGCTCAGTCGGGGGCGCCCGGCCAAACTGCAACAAAAAAATAGCCGGGCGTTGTGGCGGGTGTCTGTGGTCCCAGCTACTCAGGAGGCTGAGAAAAGAGAATCACCTAAGCCCAGGAGTTGGAGGTTGCTGTGAGCTGTGATGCCACAGCACTCTAACAACGGCAACAAAAGTGAAACTCTTGTCTACAAAAAGAATAATAATAATAATAATGTGTACAACTGATAACAAAGATATACTAGCTGGCATGTATTACAGATGTCAATACTAGAAGAAACAACTGAATATTGACAGTGGTTTCTCTGGGAAGTGGGAGGAGCTACAGAGAGAATGATCAATGACTGTTTCTAGCCCTATAAGCCTTTAAAGTATGTTTATTATCACTTTCATAATTTTTTAATTTAATGCCAATCATGTAAATTTTGAAGACACAGTCTTAGAAAATTTTGCAACTGAGAATTGGGAAGTCTTGACCCATCACAACCTTACAAGCAAAATTACTTTGAAACATTATACAGTAGAACCTCCTTCAGTTAACTTAATTTTCATAAACCACATATATACCACATGTACATATCAGTACAGCGGACCTAGTTCCTTACCTTGACCACCTCTGTATGTTGCCCAGTTTCTTACAATCCCTTGGGTAGTTAGCTTACAGAGGTTCTATTGTAGATGAAAACAAAGAGAAATGGCACGTACTTGCCCCCCCACATAGAATGATTAAATAATGCAGGGCACATTCATGCTGTGGACTTCTTCAGAGCTTCGAGATTCATGAGGTCAAACCTATCAGGTACTGGCATGGATATGAACTATGTCCACAAGAAGCAGCGAATGAAAAGGCAAACTAGACAATGATATAGAGTATTGCATATTTGCACGTACACAAGAACGGTTCTAACATATTACTCATGGAAGAGTAAGCTCTGGAGAGAAGAGGAAGAAGTGATAAAAGGACCCTCCCTCTGTGTGCACAACAGTTTATACTAACAGTACATATTACCTTTGTAACTTAAAAAATTTAAAAATATAATTGCTGGCTGTGCACTGTGGCTCACACCTGTAATCCTAGCACTCTGGGAGGCCAAGGCAGGTGGATTACTTGAGCTCAGGAGTTGGATACTAGCCTGAGCAAGAACGAGACCCCATCACTACTGAAAATTTAAAAAAAAACTAGCCAGTGGGTGCCTATAGTCCCAGCTACTTGGGAGACTGAGGCAAGAGGATCTCTTCAGCCCAAGAGACTGAGGTTTCTGAGAGCTATGACAAGGCCATGGCACTCTACCCAAGGTGACAGAGTGAGATTCTGTCTCAAAAAAAATTAAAAAATAAAAATGATGGCTCAGCACCCGTAGCTCAGTGGTTAGGGTGCTGGCCACATACCCAGGGCTGGCAGGTTCAAACCCAGCCTGGGCCTGATAAACAACAATGACTACTGCAACAACAAAAAAAAATAGCCAGGCGTTGTGGCGGCACCTGTAGTCCCAGCTACTTGGGAGGCTGAGGTAAGAGGAGGCTTATGCCCAAGAGCTTGAGGTTGCTGTGAGATGAGACGCCATGGCACTCTACCGAGGGTAACATAAACTCTGTCTCAAAAAAAAAAAAAAAAAAGAAATTAAATAAACAAATAAATAAATAAGTGATTGCTTAAATATCCTTTCAAGGTCAGTTTCAGAATGATTTTCGGAAGGGAAAGAAGTTTATTTACTGTGGAAATTGTTGACTGATTCGAGATCAGTCTAGATCTGTATGGGGGTGGGGGAAGACAGCCAACTTGCCCTCCTCCTCTTCTTTGTGAGCCAAGGGTGTTCCTTGGGACCTCAGGGAAAGCTGCTTCCTTTGGGACCCCCCAGCCCACCTAGCTGCTCCCCAGGAGTGCAGGCTGCTGTGAACTTCTGCTCTCAGCCCCGCCCCCACTGGCATCCTATGGGATTCAGCCTAGGATTTACACCTTGTCTATTCCAAGCCCCCTCCCCTCCCTCTTCTTTGCACCCTATATTTCCAAGTTCCAAATAACCAGACCACACAGTTTCAACTGTTTGTTTCTTCTTTCCTTAATCCATTGAGGAGGCTGAAAATTATAATAGTTACAATGACTTATGGAAAGAGGTTGGATCTCAGCCTTCCCAGGGTCTGAGACTCTTAACCCATCCCCCTTTCTATCTTTCCCCAAGCCATCACCATGACCCTGAATCTATTTTTCTTTCTTTCTTTGAAATTTCCAACAGGGAAGTGGGAAGGGCAGGGGTGGGCTCGGGTTGGGCAGAGATGTGCCAGGGTCAGGGTTCCTGGGTGGTGCTATTCCGCCTCTTCTCACACACCCAGCGGTACACCTGGAGGCAGAAATTGTCGTTCCAGCGGCCATCTGGCCGCATCTCCGCGCAGTCTTCACTTGCATCCACCTCGTGTCCTTGCCAGTTATCTGGCTGAGCAATAGCCCAGTTTCTAAGGAGGCGGGACAAAGCTCAGCTCTAACACCTTCCCCCATCCCAGCAACCCTCACACCACCCCAGAAAAGCCTTGGAGGGCAGAAGGCAAAGCCTTGAAGGTTGGGAGCTGGAAGGAGAGAAGTGGGGATTTGGGTCCCTGGGGAACAAGTGGAAGTATAGTAGGGTGAAAGGCCAGGTGGTCACCCCCAGTGCAATCTAACAAGGTGACAGAAGGAAGGAATCCACTTACTTGTAGTTGTACCTATACTCTGTTCCATCCACCCATTTCCAGGATCCATCACTGTCAGTGAGACCTATCCAGGTATTAAAGGGGCTTGTGTGCTGTACAATGAATTTCTGGGAAAAGAAAACAGGAGAGAGAGAAATTTCTAGCCACTTGTCCCTTTATTCTCCCTTCATGCAGGTGTGAAACTGTGGCCTCACCCCTGAGGCTGAAGCGTCAGCTCATACCCCGATTGCTTTTTCTTCACTGATCATGGCTGTTGTTCAGTGCACAGTCACTAGGCTAGACTTTGTGCCTAGTCTTTTTTTTTTGAGTCAGAGTATCATTATGTCACCCTCCTTAGAGTGCTGTGGCGTCACAGCTCCCAGCAACCTCAAACTCTTGGGCTTGAGCAATTCTCTTCCCTCAGCCTCCCAAGTAGCTGGGACTACAGGCACCTGCCACAACACCCAGCTATGTTGTTGTTGTTGTTGTTATTGTTGTTTAGCAGGCCTAGGTGAGATTCGAACCCACCAGCCCCCTTGTATGTGGCCGGTGCCATAACCACTGAGCTACGGGAGTGGAGCCTGTACCTAGTCTTTACAAACATTATCTCATTTAATCCTCAGAAGTCCCTAAGTTAGGCAATGATTCATGCTTTGCAGGGAGCTGGCAAAGCCCAGATGGCCACTGCCTGAGTTTATGACTACTGCCCTCTGTTTACAGCCCTGCCGGGTGTCCCACTTCATTCCCAACTTGTGGCTTCTACCCTGGCTCTCATCCTTTCCCTGTCTTCTGCCTGCAGCCTCAAAGTCCTGGAATCTTGACTCTGTCCCTGCTACCCCTACAGGCCTCAGACTCATGAAGGATCTCGGTTTCTCTTGCCTCTCAGGTTGCTCTTGCTTCTATGTATAGCTGTTGCTTCCAGAGGTTTGCCAGGCCCAGGGGCTTCTAAGCTTAGACGCTCTACCTGGAGCCCCATTATGACCTGGCTACACAGACTCCAGCAGTCAGTGCTAGAAATGGGGGCATGCCTGGGTGTGAAGAGCAGCCCAGTCAGCTGGCTGGCAGGGGCTTGGGTGAGGGGGTCTTTAAGCTTACAGATGGGTCCCCAGGACTTGTGCACAACCCCTAGTACAGGAGCCCCCCAGATGTCTTTTTTTTAAAATAGATATGGCTATTCCTGGGGATGTAAGTGCCAGTCCCAGGGTTTGGAAGAGTAGCAGGGAAAGGTACGATCCCCTAGCTCTGTGGAGAAAGCAGAGGAATGGATCTGGTGACCAACATGCACCTCTAGTGGTCTCTCTGACCACTTTGCATATGAAGGGCCTCAGCTGCATTTAGGGGAAAATTGACTGAGTCTGCTCACACTCCCTAGAGACACAAGGAAGGCTGTAGTTAGACACCTTATCCGAGGGAGGCATCAGTTGCTGTAGCACCTCTAAACTCTAGAATCCTCCCATTAGAACAGCGTCCTGTGCATGAGGAGATGGCCTTAGAAGCAGGTACAGCTATTCCCCAAATTCAGAGGTGTCCATAGAGTGGGAATAAAGTGCTGGGAGACAAGATATTCTATCCATTGCCACCTGCTGCCCAATCTCTTCTCCCTTTCATAAGAAACTAAGTAATTGGCCAGGCATGGCAGCATATGCCTATAATTCTAGCACCCTGGGAGGCATTATAAGGCAAGAAGATCACTTGAGGTCAGGAGTGCAAGACCTGTCTTAGCAAAACAAGACCCCCACTTCTACCAAAAGAAAAAAAAATTAGCCAGGCGTGATGGTCCCAGCTACTCTGAAGACTGAGGCAAGAGAATCCCTTGAGCCTAGGAGTTTGAGATTTCTGTAAGCTAGGCTGAGGCCATGGCAGTCTAGCTCAGGCAATAGTAAGATTCTGTCTCAAAAAAAAAAAAATAAATAAATAAAAAGAAAGAAAGAAAGAAAGAAAAGAAAAGAAACCGAATAATTGAGCAAAGATTATAGATCAACAACATCCAGCCCTCTCTGCTGAAGACTGAGTGGAGAACTCAAATAGCAGCAGATTATTGGCGTCCAAGACATTCATCCTCCCTTTGCTGGGTAAACAAAAAAGAAAACATTGCACCCATTCATGAAAGTGGCAAGGAGGAAAATCATTTTGGATTTTATTCCTCCAAAAGAAGATGAGGAAGATGAGGAGAAGGAAGAAAGAGCTGTCCTACAAAAGGAGAGGTGAAAGGCATACTTTAAAAAGACTTATTTCAGAATATATGGGGATTTGGAGAATAATTTCTTTCTATTCTCAAAAAATTAAAAAGGAGATGTATGATTTAAAACATCAAGGAAGATATCAAAGAAGAGAAGAGAATGCAATGATAAAGAGAGAATTTTTTGGCTCAGCACATGTAGCTCAGCAGCTAGGGCGCCAGCCACATACACAGGAGCTGGCGGGTTTGAATCCAGCACAGGCCTGCCAAGCAACAGTGACAACTACAACCAAAAACTAGCCGGATGTGGTGGGCACCTATATTCCCAGCTACTTGGGAGGGTGAGGCAAGAGAATTGCTTAAGCCCAAGAGTTTGAGGTTGCTGTGAGCTGCGACTCTATAGCACACTACAGGGGGTGACATAATGAAACTCTGTCTCAAAAAAAAGAGAGAATTTTTTTTAAAAGGTTTGAGCTATATATATTTTTAAAAGGCCATTTTTCAGGAAGCCAAGACTGAGCTTGAGATGGGCTTGAGAAAAGGACCTAAAATGATGAGGAACAGAGAGAAAAATGAAAGTGAACCGCAACTAGCTGATGACCATGGAGGACAGGCAATGGGGATGAGTTTATATGTCATGCTCCAGAGGAAAAGACAAATGGACAAAAAAAAAAGATATATCCAAAAATGTAACATAGGAAAGTCTTCCATTAATAAAATGTTAGAAGACCTAACTTTACACGTTAAAAGGACACAACTGGGCACAGTGGCTCATGCCTATAATCCTAGTACTTTGGAAAGCTGAGGTTGGAGGATGGCTTGGGGCTAGTAGTTTAAAATGAACTTGAGTAAGAGCAAGATCCCATCTCTACAAAAAAAAGTAGAAAAATTAGCCAGGCATGGTGGCATGCTGCTGTAGTCCCAGCTATTTGAGAGGCTGATGCAGGAGAATCACTTGAACTCAGGAGTTTGAGGTTGTAGTGAGCTATGATGACGCCACTATACCCTAAAATGGGCAACAGAGTGAGACCCTGTCTCAAAAAAAATGAATAAATAAACAAAACAACTCTTCTGGTCTCATTAAAAAAAAAAAAAAATACCCAGATGAGGTTTAAGACACTCAGAAATAGAAAAGGCACCTTTAACTATTCAGACAAAACACTTAAGGAAGCTAGATAAGAAAATAATCAGAATGCAGAAGAAATGTACTGGTTTCCTCATCTTTCATATGGAAAGTTATATAAATAATACATTTCCCTAATCACTACAATAACTCAAAGAACATCTACTTCAAATACCACAGGAGAGAAAACAAAAAGAACACATCTCAAACGGCAAATGCAAGAGAGCAAAACCAGCATATTAAACAGAAAAAAGAAGAGAGGATTAAGATTGAACCTGTCTATTAAAAAATAATGTAGGGCCAGGCATAGTGCCTCACATCTGTAATCTGAGCATTCTGGAAGGCTGAGGCAACAAGATCCTTTGAGCTCAGGAATTCAAGCCCAGCTTGAGCAAGAGTGAGACCCCGTCTCTACTAAAAATAAAAAAATTACCCAGGCACTGTGGAGGGTGCCTGTAATCCCAGTTAATTAGGAGGCTGAGGCAGGAGGATCACTTGAATCTAGGACTTTTAGGTTGCTGTGAGATAGGCTGAGGCCATGGCACTCTATCCTGGACAACAGAGTCTCAAAAAAAATTGTAAATAAAATTTATACTTATCTAATTAAAGAAAAGATACTCTTACCCAATTTTTAAAAAGCAAACAAAATACACACAACCTATAGGAGAAATATCTCCATCTGGTTTATACAGTAGCATCTCTGTGGATATTGCCAGGATGAACTCAAGATTAATCAATCAGAACCTTTAAAGGTGAGACCTGGGGGTTAATATTTTCTTTAAACTCTTCAATAGATGACAGTCAAGGCTGAGAATCACTAATCTAAAACAAAGAAATTCAAAAAGGTTAGAAATAAAAGGACAGAGATACTACAAACAAGTGCAAATGAAAAGAAGTCAAGGACTATGGCAGGTGTCCTCAAACTACCGGCCACATGCAGCCCGCCTTTTGTCACCGCTGCCTGTCCTTCTCAGCAGCCAACTCATCCCAGGGCCCATAGTCCAGCCCGCCAATGGTCTGAGGGACAGTGAACTGGCCCCCTGTTTAAAAAGTTTGAGGACTGTGGACTATGGTATTTATATATCAGAGGATGAGTTCAAGGCAAACAGCACCAAGTGAGACACTGACATTTACTTCACAATGATGAAAGCACAATCCACCAAGAAGCTACAGCGGTCATGAACTTGTGTGCCACATCACAGAGCTCTGAAATTGTAGGCTGAACAGTGTGAAATTGACATTTTTATAGGTCAAAATAGATTAAAGATTGGCAAGTTCAACCTGATCAGTAAAGTAAAATCTGTTTGTAATCACTCTACCATGCAAAGCACTTACACAGCCTGATGCATAACAAACACTCGATGAACATATTCTGGCCTAGGTGTCACAGGGTTTGATTGCTTTGGCTTTATAACACTTTCGAGCTCATACAGCACAAAGACCTCATAGACCCCACAGTGCCATGGAGCACATCATGTGGAAACTCCAGCTACGGAGGCAGAGTGAGCTGGATTCTGGCTCCATCATGAGTCACCAGCTGCTTGGCAAGTTACTTACCCTCTGTGCTCCTTAGTGCCCCCATCTCACCTCCCTCACAGGGGGGACAGTAAGCGTGCCCATCCCATAGGACTGTGGGGGTTAAAGAACTGAATAATGAATGCGCTTAGCATGTAGCAAGTGCTCAGCAAATGTTACTATTTTTACCCTCCTTTTCCAAAATTGTCCTATCTATTCTTTTTTTTTTTTTTTTTTGAGACAGTCTCCCTATGTCACCCTCGGCAGAGTGCCCTGATGTCACAGCTCACAGCAACTTCAAACGCTTGGGCTTAGGCAATTCTCTTGCCTCAGCCTCTCCAGTAGCTGGGACTACAGGTGTCCACCACAATGCCCGGCTATATATTTGTTGCAGTTGTTTAGTTGGCCCCGGGCCAGGTTCGAACCCCCTAGCCTCGGTATATGTGGCTGGCACCATAACCACTGTGCTACAGGCACCAAGCCTGTCCTGTCTATTCTAAAGGGTTGATTGTTGTTTCTGAACTTTGGTGTCTGGTGGCAGCAATGGGAAGAGGAGACATGGAGAGTCTTGGAGGGACCCAGTAACCCATTGCAAGTAAGTCACTTGTCTCCTGCCTGCTCTGTTCCAAAGGCCAGCACAACAAGAAGGGACTCTTGGCACCTCCACCCCATCCTGGCTCTTTAGGTTACCCTGTCTCGCATTCCTGTCTCCTGACCTGCTCATCTCCTGACTTCTGTGTCTTTCTTCTTACAACCTCTCACCTTTTAGGATCAAGGCTACTCCACACTTCCAGCCACCCAGAGCCTGCATTCCTAGGGCTCCCGCCTGCCTTTGGGAGGTGTGGCCGCACCTGCTCCTCCCAGGAGTTGATGACCACCAGGTGGGCGTTCTCCAGCTGGCAGTGCTTCTCCGCCTCCAGCCAGGTCTTCCCAGAGCGGGAGAACCAGTAGCAGCTTCCTGAGTACTCCACCCAGTTGACAGGGCAGCAGGTCCTTTCTGAGCCTGAGGTGGGCAAAGAGGATGAGGGGACGAGATCCAGCTAGAGGGGACAGGCACACTGGAACAGAGATTTCCCTGTCCCTACCGTTGCTGTGGAGGAACTCTATCTGGCAGGCCAGGACACGCAGATCGGCTGGGAAGTGCTTCAGATGAAGGAGCAGGGTGGCATGGTCTAGGGGGACAGATGGACCGTGATGTGAGAATTCATGCGGTCCCCACCTACCAGCACCAGGCACCAGACTCCAGCCCTTGGCTGGGGAAGCATGTATACAAACGCACACAGACACACCACACACACACACACACACACACACACACCCCACTGGGAGGGTCTCTGACCTGCTTTCAGGTCTTGCTGCTGTTTCTCCAGCTTGGCTCCCAAAGATGTTATCTTGGCCCCTACGCTGCCTCCTGGAAGAGAGAAGCTAAACCATTCCCTCTGTTCTACCCCTGAATGTTCCTCCCATCCTTAGGCTCCTGCGACACAGTCAGGGACCCATCACCTTTCCCAGGTTAGGACATCCACCATCTGCCTTCCCCTGCTCTACCCACCTGCTGCCATGTCTCAAGTCCTTCTCCTGCTTTATCCGTCTATTTTCTCACAATAAGCCTCTGAGTCCAAACCTTACCCCACTGATCAGCTCCCGCCACACTAGAATTGCTCACAGTCCCAAGATGAGCAATGGCCTTCCTTACCTCCTGGCCCTCACTGATAAGTTCCCTCCTCTTCTCCTGCCTTGCCCCAGGGCCCCTCAGTTGTGGACCAGTGACCCCGCCCAGCAGCCTGGGCCAGGCTATCTGCCCCACTCTGTACCCTGCAGCCCTGAACACACTTTCACTGCAGACTTGGCCCTGACCCCAGCACACTTGTGCAGATGAACAAGCATCCCACCCCGGCCCCTTACCGTGAGCACCCAGAGCCCGGACATCCATCAGAGTGTGGGAGGAGAAGTTGCTGAAAGTTTCTTTTAGGGCCCGCAGCTCCACTTGCAGCTGTGTGCCTTGTCAGGAGACAGTGGGAACAGCATAGGGAAGAGGGAGTCCCCGCCACCATCTGAGCAGTTATCTCCCTCCTCACTCCATTGCTGTCGTGTTGCAAGGCCACCATCTGCCCCCAGAATACACCCCACTTTGCTGCCACCCCTTCTTACTTGCCCCCATCACTCCCTCCCCCGCTGGCCATTGTGATCCTCACTTTGGGACCCAATCACACAGATGGCCACCAGCAGCAGGACGTTGAAGCCCAGGGCGAGTAGACTGAGGCGGAGCATGGAGCAGAGACTCTGTGCCAGGGTCTGAGGCAAAGGGGGCCCTGCAGAGACAGGAGTCAGGTGCCATGCCCAGTGCTCAGGGCACCAGGAAGGGATCACAGTGGGCCATGCACAGAAGTTGGGAAAGGACTGACCCCACAAGGGCAGGACTGGGTGAGGAGACCATGGGAGGTGCCTGGGTTTTGACCTCAGCATTTGGAACTTCACACACACACCCACACACACATACACATATACACTCTTACACACTGGCACCCACATACGCAATATGCAAACACACACAGCCACCTACCCAGGTGCACAAAACACACATGTGACACATGAGATCCACATCAGCTTTGGGCAAAGCTCCAATCTTGGGCTGGGGTATTGGGAGATACAGAGGAGGCCAGGGGTCAGGAGGGCCCCTGACAGGCACACATCCTGGGAAAGAACTATATCTGTATCTCATAGGTTCAAACATTAAGTAGAACTATTGGAAATATTTAAAAATCCCAAGTTGAACTTCTAGAGATGAAAACGTCAAAGTCTGAAATGAAAAATACACTGAGTGGGATTAATGGCAGATTAGACATGCATAAGAAATTTTTATTTAACTTAAAGTCATAGCAATAATTATATAAAATGAAACACAAGAGAAAAAAAAGAATCAAAACCAAAATGGAAATATCATCAGTGAGCTAGAGACCATTAACATGTATGTAATTGGATTCCTCAAAAGAAAGGAGAGTGAAGTAGAAAAAAATATTGGATGAAAATTGGCCAAAATATTTTTAAATTTGCTGAAAACTATAAACACATACAGAGCTAACAAGAGTGGCAGATGGGCTCTGGCAAGCAGCTGGTCAACATCAGCTCACACGATGACTCCATGTCCCAGGTAGCAGAGTCTGCTGGAGAGGAATGTGCTGACCTGGTTGCAGCCCCTCAAATTTGCCTTACAGTAAGGTCCATCAGTCCATTTGGGCAAGCTCCCATTAATTTCAAAAATACCAGACTCTCTGCAAGCCTCTTGCTTAAATTCTAAATCCTCTCACTCTCAGAAGATCCAATAATATACAAAATCTTTTTTGTGTGTTCATTAGGTACCAGGCACTGTGTGGGCACTGGAATTGCAGGGGACAGTGAGGTGGACATGGCCTCTGCCCCAAAGAGCCTACTGCCTGGTGGGAAGGCCTGTCCCTCTTGCCCCCCCTGCACTGCTCTGGCCAGCACCAGCCCTCCCTTAGTCAGCCAACCTCAGGAATTCAGGGTCCCTTCTCCCAGCCCAGCTAACTGTTCCCTCTCCCTGAGCTCTAAGTCCCAGCCTTCTGGCCTCCATGGAACCCAGCTCCACTACCAGCACCCACACACCTGGTGCCTTCCTCCATCCCTGGTGCTTACCCTTCTGCCTAGAACTGCTCAGATCTCTCTCCCTTTAAAACTTTTTCCTAGGCAAGATTGGTAGAGAAAGATCCAGGCAGAGGGCCTAGGAAGGAGAGCAGCAGGAATCTCACAAGATCTCTCTGTGCCTATTTCTCCACCCACCCCAAGTCACCTCCACCTCCCCACACACACATTCACACACACAGTCCTGGCTGAATCTGCACTCCTTGTACACACAGACGTGCATGTATGCATACACACAAGGCACACGTGTTCTCAGGCTGGGAGGAGGAGGGGAGGAAGTTGTCTCCAGCCTCTAGGTGTCTCTACATCTCTGGGCACACACCTTTCCTGGGGCCCTGGAGGTGGTGGGGTCAGGAGCAGGCAGAGGTGTCCAGCACCTCACACCTAGAGGGTCCCAGATCCCACTTGCAGATTGAACATGACAGAGACCTTAGAGAGACCGAGAGTGATGGGGAGCTGAGACAGAAGGGGACTAAAGTTCCAGAATCTGGACACTTGCCTTTACAAGATGGATCTTCTCTCCTGGGATTCTGTGCACAAGTGCCTGGCACCTCGCCTCTGCCAAGGTGGTGGTCACGTTCCTCCAAGTCCAGCTGCTGGATTTCTTGAAAGTCTTTCGCCATGGCGAGCCAGCACTAGAACCAGACCTGGGCTGTGTTGAGGTTGCTCTGAGGGCTGAGCTGAGCGCTGGGCTTGTGCTAAGATGCAAATTCACATGAAGGCTGACAGTGGGATCTGAATGGGTCAAGATGGTGCCTTTGGTTGGGACTGAGGTTGGAAGCAAGTTGGGGCTGAGGTTTGAAATACTGCTGAGTCCTGTCCCTTCTCAAGAGATTGCTTGGGCCTCGACACTGCCAGAAGCGTTCTCTCCATGCTCTTGTGGGCCAGACTACCCCATATCTGCTCACTAAGCCAGGGTGTCTTAACCCCAAATATCCCCAGCCCCAGCTGCCCCCTAATCTTGGTTACCTGCTAAAAGTATGGAGCTGGCTCCCGGCTCCCACAAGGCCACCCTGGTCCAGGGCAAGGAGGGGTTAAAGTGGGAAGAACTGGAGCAGGCAACTGCTAGCTCAAGAGAGGAGGAGGGGAGGAGGGGGCTGGTCCCGCAAGTGCCCTGAGCCTCATGTGTCTCACTGTCCACCTGATTCTTACCTGGCATCTCCTATGGGACTTTGGACAGTAAATAGAAGTGGAAACAGAGTTGGAAGCAGGCAGCGTGGTGGGGGCGGGGGACATGACCATCTCCACTTTCATCTCCAAGGAGAGGGCTCTCCTGGGCTGACCCCCGACACATAAACCAATCACCTCACTCCTCATCCCACCATTTGGGAGTCGAGCCAGGCCAGGGGATAGGGGAGCTGCTTGCTATTTCCCCTCCATCCCTCCCCACTTTCACTTCCTGCCTCTAAATTTCCCAGAATTGTTGGTGTCTCCAAATATCCCTGACCAGGATCAGAGGGCTTGGCTCTCTGCTCTTGCCCAATCTAGCATACCGGCCACAGGCCCAGCTTCCTGTGGGCCGGGCCACCAAACTCTCAGCTCTGGCCTCTTCTGGGGAGTAAAGTCTCTCAAATGCAGAAGCCACAGGAGCGGAGGAGAAAACTGTGGCAGAAAAGCAGCCCTCCTTGCAGTAGGAGGGACCCAACCCTAGTCAGTCCTTTCCCGCCCAGGCCCTGCACCAGCCCTGGAAACCAAAACATTGTCCTCACGCCAGCCACTGCCCTAAATCCTCCACAGACACTTCTTCCTTGAACCCTCACAACACAACACCCATAAGGTGGGTATGTTTGTTATTCCCATTTCTCAAGGGCAGGAATGGAGCCTCACGGAGATTGAGTGACCAGTGCCAGGCGGAGGGGCAGGCAGATAGAGAGGCTGAGAAGGCTTAATGGGGTAAAGAGGGGGAAGAACAGCAGGGTGAAGGGTCTTCGCAGGCCTGTGAGGAAGGCTGTGTTCCATAAACTGAGGAGCGGGATTAACCATCTACACCTGCAGCAGTAACAGCTTGGAAAAGAAAACACAGTATTTGTCCTTGATTTTCTGATCCTCACCAAATGTGGGCTGCTATCTACAGGCAGAATTTCTCTTAGTCAGCTGCCCATATTTCCCCCTGTGTTGAAAAGGGATCCTGTCCTTCTCTTATAGTAACTTTTGGACCCACATAGGAAGTAGCCACTTACCCCAGCATCCTGACATTCTGACAGGCAAGTTGGCTATAACCCACAGTGAGAGGTACATGTCACCATGTCATCCAAACATAGACTCAAGCATCTGCACGCACATGCATATTTGTAGGTGTTACTTTCTTCTTAATCCCCAGTGCCTGGCACATAGTAGGTGCTCAACATTTATTAAATAAGTGAGTGAATAAAAGAATACATTTGGAAGTGTGTTATTGGCACAAAGCTTTCATAAAACAATGCTTTCCTTACTATTTGCTTTCTTTGTAATACATGAACAACTAAACTGTGACCAACCCACTAGTGAGTCCCAACTCAAAGTATGAAAAAAACTGCTGCAAAGCCTTGATCTTGACAGCGTATGGTTTTAGTCCTGAGATATAGGCAAGAGCTTAATAAATGGATTGCCTACTGCACATCAAGGTTCACCAACTGCCAACCAGGGATGGGGGTATTCTCACTGACCTTGACTAAACCAAGTCGATATTTTGGGGTGTGTCACTTACAACCCCCCAGACCTGGCACTGATGGAAAGGGACATCTCTGTGCCCTTCTCTTCCTCCCTATTTGTAAGTCATCATTTTAACTTACCAAAAGTTAACAGTGATGAAGTCTTGCTCTGTCACCCAGGCTGGAGTGCAGCGGCATCACCATAGCTCTCTGCAGCCTTCAACTCCTGGGCTCAAGAATCCGCCCCCCTCCCCTCTCCCTCCCTGAGTAGCTGGGACTACAGGCACATAGCACTACCCCTGGCTAATTATTTTTTGTTTATTTTTTGTAGAGATGAGATCTTCATTTTTTTTAATTTTTAAATCTGCACAAACATGTATTCTGTCCCTGCCCAGGAATAGGGGAGAAAGGGGTATGGGATCCCCACAGAAAAGGATGGAACTCCTTGGGAAGTTTCCAAGGCTGCAGGCCCTGGGGTATGTGGACAGTGGGCCCTAGGGCCTGGCTGGGTTCTGAGGGATCATGGAAGTCCAGGTAGGCAGGGGCTGCAGGTTCTGGAAGCCAGCCACCCCAAAGGCAGACCCAGCCCTCCGGAGCCCAGAAGTTCAGGCCCCAAACTTGTGTCCAGCTCATGTCTCCCCCCAACTCCCAGGAGAGAAGGCTGCAGCATGCACACTGTCTGGGATGGTATATGAGAATGACCCCCCAGGTGAGGACAGTCACTGTGCAAGTTACCAGGTTTAAATTAAAAATAATAAAATAGGCTCGGCTCCTATAGCTCAACCAGCTAAAGCGCCAGCCATGTACACCTAAGGTGGCAGGTTCGAATCCCCAGCCTGGACCCGCCAAACAACAATGACGGCTGCAACCAAAAAATAGCCGGGCGTTGTGGTGGGCGCCTGTGGTCCCAGCTACTTGGGAGGCGGAGGCAAGAGACTCGCTTGAGCCCAGGAGTTGAAGGTTGCTGTGAGCTGTAATGCCACGGCACTCTACCCAGGGGGACAGCTTGAGGCTCTGTCTCAAAAAATAATAATAATAATAATAATAATAATAAAATAACAATGCAAAATAAAACAAAGCATTTCTGTCTCAAACAAATCTGTGACTATATCTTGCCTGCCTGCTCCCCCACACCAGGTAAGGAGGATAGGACTTGGACCTGGCTGGGGCGCTGGGAGGAGCAGGTGAGGCCAGTTGAGTCAGCACTGGTCTCCAGAGAGGACAGACATCTGCGAGGGGCAGAGAGACCAATGAGAGGGGCTGTGGCAGGGCTCAGGGCTCCAGGTTGGTCTGAGCATATTGTTCTTTCATGTTCCCTCTTCATCCAGTTTCTCTCAGTCTTCTAGGTCTTGACAAGGCAGACAGGATGAGCTCTAAAGATTTACTGCACTGTTTTGGAAGCGGCCTAGGGCTAAAGATGGGCTGGGATGGCAGGAGAGGTAGTTGGGGAAGTGGGGGGAGGACAGGCAGGATTCATCGCTTGGTATTGGTATCTTCTCAGATCTTGCAGATCAC